GGGGTGGGCGTGGGGGGGTTTTTCCGGGGAAGGGGTTTGGCAACGCAAGAGGCGGCAGAGGGAAGGGAAGGGGTTAGGGTTAGGATTTTATCTTTTTTTTTAACCAACCTAGACGGAATTTCCGTCTAGGTTGCCTTTTTATTTTAAAAAAATAATTTTCCGTCTAGTTTGGCATTCTAGACGGAAAATTACGTCTAGAATGCTTCAAACTAGACGGAACAACCTAGACGGAAATATTTCCGTCTAGTTTGACTCAACCTAGACGGAATTTTTTCCGTCTAGGTTGTTCCGTCTAGTTTGGTCAATTTTCTACTAGTGATATCCTAAGTGTTGATGATCTAGTATCAATTTCAATAACTTAATGGGTAATTTCAAAATAATTTAAGAATTAAGCGATCTAATAGTAATTTTAGTTATTTGAGGGACTGATTTTAAAATAAGAAAGGTGTAAGAGACTACTATCTGAAAATATGCTTTTTCTAATAAATGAAGCAAACTTTGGGTGTGGATGAAAAAGAGACTAATATAGGGACCTAGTAGCAATTCAATCTCATTGATTTGAGGGATCAATTTTAAAATATAAAAGATCTAAGGGGCTAATAGCTAAAAAATTAAATAAATAGGTGGGTTTTAAAATAACTGAGGTTGAATTTTAAGTATAAAGAATAATAATGCTGTGAGGAGATTCAGACCCGCCACTAATACTATAAAAAGTAGTAGTATAACCATCATGTCATATTATCTTTAAAACCGCCAATCGAAAGTTTTTATTTTATATTAATTGCCACTGTTTATTTCCACATTACCTACAGTACTAACCTCAATTGCTTTAGTATATGGATAAATAAATGGCGGCTGGCAAAAAGATCCAAACCCACCTCCTTGTTTTATCGAATTTCAAATTCGTGTTTGAAAGCTTCATGCGTCCAATGCCAACCTGTTTCTTAACAAAATAAATTCAAAGTTTTTTTATCATATTAGACCTTAGATTCTTTTTTCCCCTCATATCTGTCTTTAGATCCAATTCTATTTTTTACATTAGTATCACTAAATCTTTAATAATTTAAAAAAACCACTCAAATCATTGAATTTGCTATTAGGTCTTTTAATTCTTACCTCTTGCTACTACTGCTCTTGCTGGAAGATATTAAGGCTCTGTTTGGCAAAACTAGCTGAAAGCTGCGAGATTATAGCTGAAAGCTGTCAAGCTAGCTGAAAGCTGTCAAATTGTAGCTGAAAGCTGTGTAGCTAGCTGATTGACTAGAGCTGTTTGGTAAAAGAAGCTGTACAACTAGCTTAAATTTGTTAAATGACTAAAAGGGTCATGCAATATTATTGATATAAAATTAGAATTATTAGGGGCAAAAACGGAAGAAGAAAAATTGACAGCTCCTTCCCAAAGACAAACGCTACTTGAGATAGCTTTTCAAAAGCTACTTGCAAAAGACACAATCTCCAAAATAATCTTATCCTATTTTTGGTCACCAAACAGCTCTACTAACTTATTGATCAAGTCAATAAGACACAAGCTCTTAGATAAGACAATTTTTTTGGTTGCCAAACAGTGCCTAATTTGAAACAATTTATAAAACTTGGAGAGCTCATAGCAATGTCAATGATTTAGGTGACTAGTTTAAATTTTGACAATTGAGGGGCCTAGGAGCAATTTCATACATTTGAGATTTTAATTTCAAAATATTAAAGATTTAACAGACTCGTGTGGAAAGTTCGCATTTTCATATTAGGCCTTCAAATATTCATATTTGAATTTTACACCCCTAAGTAAGGTAAAAACAAATTACTGGATTTGTGTATTAGTAGGGTGTTATTTAAACAATTAATGAATCTGGTGGGTATGAAACTATGAAGTGTAAAGTATGGGTTGTTATTTTAAACAATTAATGAATCTGGTGGGTACGAAACTATGAAGTGTAAAGTATGGGTTGTTATTTACGAAATAGTTTAACTTTTCAAATGGGTCCTCCCAGGTCCAACGCAATAACAGACGATTTGAATCCAACCCCATTAGAATTTGTCTACCCAACCCGATAAACAAACCCTTTAACTTAAACCTTATTTGATCCGGACACCTAATACAATTACCTACCCGAACCAACCCTTTAACTTTCAAAACACCCCAATGTTTCCTGATACGAAATTTGCAAATGTTTCCTAAAACAGGATAATCCGAGTCCTAATCAAATAGGGATTTGTTAATGATGCTTACCAAATATGACTCCAGTTATTTCAAGTCCATGTTGCATTAGGACAGAATCTTATATATATATTTGCAAATAAATGCCCTGTTGACACAAAATACACACAAAAAGCTGGAGAGCAGAGAAAGAAAAAGAGAAAAAAAATGAAGAGGGAGTTTGAGATGATGAACAATAGACGCTGCAATGAGAGTTCTGATGCTCTTCTTGGTGAGATGATAAAGGAAGAGAGCCACATTGATGCGAAGACTCCGCAAATCAAGAACCTGCTCGAGAACCGAAATGAAAATGTTAGTATTTTTCGATTGTTTTCTTTGAAATTTGTTTGTTGCTTGAATCATTCTAGTCAGAAAATGGGGTTTTAAGGGATTGTAGAGTTGTTCGACTTGTTTGTCTTTCTGATAGGTTTCGTCATTAGGATTATATTTAAGCAAGAGTTTTGTCCTCCTTCGATAAAAAAGAGTTTTTTATTTTTGCATTGCCGTTTTTGCTTTTATTCAATTTTGTTTATTTTTCAGGTTCGGCTGATGAATTGTGTAGTCCATGTTAGTTTCATGTGTTTTATTTAAGGTATCAAACCCCGAAGAGCATTAGAGTTGTCTAAATTTGGAAATTTCTGATCCCTAGTTTTCGTATTGGTTGAGTTTCAGTAGTAGTCATGATTGTAAATAATGAATTCAGTTACACTGATATTTTTGTTTCCAGTGCTTATTTTTGAGCCATTGTTGATTTGTTCCACTTGCTGTTTTTCTGGGTTAGTTTATGATGGATCCTATTTGCTACTTGCAGGCTTCGAAACGTCTATTTGACTTGCTAAGGTTGCTGAAGTCGATGGATCTCCCCGCATAAGCCAAAAATGTATGTATTCAGATCTCTTTCTAAACTTCGATTCCTGATTATTCATCAAAAGGCATCAGTTTTTTCTTTTCTGAATTTAATGCAATGATTATGCTTTGTTTTTCTACTTAGATTACTGTTATTGATTTAACGTAGGCTACGAATGCTGCGAGCCTTATTACCTGTATGAAAAGAAGCAACGCTAAAGAGATAAGGAACCTCGCCGAGTTTCTTTCCAAGTAAGTTTCTATGCAGTATGATATATTCACTATTTTTGTATATACGTTTTGGAATGTCGGCGGTTCCACTATTTAACTTTTTTCATATCAGTTTGTTCTTTGGTAGATTGACTCCGGCTCCTGTGAACTTATTATTAATTGCACTATATAAATCCCTATAATTATATTGAGACAAGAGATTTCAAGTTCTCTTCTCTATGCAATCAGCTGAATATAAACTTCTAAGTTGTATTATGCTCAGTAATAGTTGAGTTGAACTTAGCTTCTTAAATTAAACATAGGATTCAAGAATATACTAATCAAAGTAGACTAGTGTGTGATCAAGCAATCTAAGAATTGCAACTTGTTTGAAATGTCAGAGAGAGTGCTTGTACATTTATACTTTCATAAATATGTTTTTCTTTCTATATATAGACTTTATGGAACTAACTTTTGATGTGCATCAACCTTGTACTAGATTTCCTGATCTTTTTATTGGTTTCAATCTTTGGCTATAGGAGCTTGAAAGTTCTTTCGAATGAGTGGATGAATGGTACTGAAGATTTGACTGGTAAGGTTTTATCTTCTTCTTTTTTTCCTGTGATTTTTTTTTAGTTTCATGTAATTTAATCAGTGGTCACAATTTGCAGAAACCACTGGAGTCTTTGTTGTTCAATGTCCCGCAAAAGAGGAAGACCTTTCTTTTCTATGTGGGATTCCTTTTCCTCCACCAGAGGCTATACAAACTGTCTCAATGGATTACTCGAAAGGTACTAATTCTACTCTAAATATTACCTAAAAATTCTCATTTATATTGATGTTTTGTAGTGGACTAATTTAATCTCCATGTACCATTCAATTCTCAGATAGAAGAAAATATCGTTGAGAAGAAAGATGTCAGTGAGATGAGGAGAGAGGAAAATATCACAGAGGAGAAAGATGACACTGACATGAAGCAAAAAACCAAAACTTGGTGCCTTAAAGTATGAAGACAAACTGGAGGTTTCAAAGAGGAAGCTAAGAGAAGGATACAAGGATGCAGAAGAAGGTATGTTTCTTAACACTATTTATTTGATTGTACTCTATTTTTTGGTACATATTAGAAACTAACTGGCTGGCTCTATAATTTCATAATGCAGCAAAGCAAAACAGAAAGATTATGGTCGTTGACATGAATAACCTACAACCAGTACAAAGCCAGAGCAAAAAGAAGACTAAAAGTAAAGCGTGGACGCCGCATTAACAAGTTCATCAAACTGAGGCCTAAAATTGATCACCGCTCTTTGATTTGGTAAATAAGTTGAGTTGTTTTATTCATTCCCATACAATGAAAAAGAAAAGAAAAAACACCCCAGGGTTTTGCTTTTAATGTGTTGTGTACATGGTTAGTGTCTTGAATTGAATTTTAACAAGAGCTTATGTAAATATTTTGACTCTATAATGATTCTACTAATGTAATGTCTCAGTTGTCTCAGTTTACTTCTGAGTTCAATTTTTTATTTTCTGTAGTGTGATAGACTTATTTTCAAAAGGACCCATTACAATTAAACTTGAATAATGTATGCTGAGTCTCAGCATGTTTGTTGCTCAAGCTCTCTCTGCAATGCATTTTTATACTGTCAGACTGTCAGTTTCACCTGAAGCTAATAAAAAGAACAGTGTTGAGTAGATGAGAAGTTCGTGGATTCTTACTTCACACTTTTCTACAGTAATCTACACACTTAGATGTTTCTATTTTCTAAACTGTTAGCATTTGTAATACATGATTGCTACAAAGTATCAGTCCCGTGTCAGAAAGCTGATACGTGTAGTTTAGTGCCAGATTCATGCATTACATATACCCGTCCAATTTCTAGTATAAATGTATTTCCATCACTGTCAGAGCATACAAAAAAGTACTCTGACATATGTGATATACTTCTTTCTTTTGTAGCCGAGAAACACTTCTTCCTACTTTTGTATGCTTGATGAGCCTTGAGTTGAATGTTCATAACCTTGAATAGTATTTTAAAAGAATTTACAGGAAAAAAGGGTATTTGAGAGGAACTTCTTTATTGAACCAAATTTTACATTGTTTTCATTTGCCTACTGTGCCATGGGACAATTTTGATTATTCATTATCACATGTCGTGGACAGCCCTCCATGCATAATTATAGATTACTATTATCTAAATTATGCGATCATGACTTGTGAGATCCAAAGCTGGAAAGTCACTTCCAATATCAAAATGTAGCACATAATTTTTTCTCAACGAGCACATTCGTTCTCTACATAATTAGTAAGACCATGAAATTATCTTATAAAATGTGGATAAAATAGCGATCAACACCGGTTGTGTAACGCCCTACCCCGGAATCCCGGAGTCGGTACGCTATTAGATCTGATGGACTGGCCTCACAAACCACCACATGTCTTTTCAGCACGTTTTGTCCTCACTCACGCGCTCCCTGGAAAACTTCCCAGGGGGTCACCCATCCTAGTAATTCTAGAGGTGGCTCCTACGACCTCAAGAGGTGGCTCCCATCCTCTTTCCAATCAAATCTATCAAATCTAATCACATCACCCTCTCAAGGGTTGGGGTATTACAATCTCCCCCACTTAAACTCACAACGTCCTCGTTGTGCCAAATCATATCATCCAAGACCGTACCATCCGTGTGAGATTCTAGAGGTGGCTCCTACGGCCTCAAGAGGTGGCTCATGCCCTTTCGACGTAGCACTTTGCGCCGCATAGCACTTAGCTCTCACAAGTCCGGTTGGCTTTGCTCTGATACCATTTGTAACGCCCTACCCCGGAATCCCGGAGTCGGTACGCTATTAGATCTGATGGACTGGCCTCACAAACCACCACATGTCTTTTCAGCACGTTTTGTCCTCACTCACGCGCTCCCTGGAAAACTTCCCAGGGGGTCACCCATCCTAGTACTACTCTCGCCCAAGCACGCTTAACTTTGGAGTTTCTAAGAGTTGGGTTCCCGAAAAGAAGATGTATCTTGGTGGTATGAGTATTCCAATCAAATCTATCAATTCTAATCACATCACCCTCTCAAGGGTTGGGGTATTACAGGTTGGATTTTATCTCGGCTGACAACAAATGTCATGAACACTATTAGTAGCTCCATGAGCAGCACATGCTGCACTTTCAACAAGAAAAGAATTCCTATCGGGAGTATCTGCATGTACGTAGAACTCGAGCTTGGCTCCAACATGTCAAAAATCAGCCCATTCAAAAAGCATAAATTAAAGGAAAAAAGCGATTCTCATCAGAATCTGAACAATTCTTGTGAACTAACATATCTCCAAACACTAAGAAGCACAGGATAAGCAAACTAAGAAACAGCAAACCAGATTATACCCCGCGAAAAGAATGAAAAAAATACTTTATTACCAAAAAATGACAGTATAATACAGTTACAATAAGAATTCAAGAGTCACTGAAACATTCCATCAATTCATCCAAATAAGAGGCAGTACCAACGTCAATTTCCAAATCCTCCCATGTCCAATGATCCTGCGATGGTGGTGGAAGAATGTCGATCAATGAGGATGATGCTTCATAAGAATCTAAAGCAGGAGCGCAGACCCATGTTGATGACAAGTATGGAGATGATGACGAGGGCTGAGAAGGTGCTTCAGTGTTAACCGTGGAAGTTTGCTCAGTATCACAGAAGTTGCTGCATCCCTCAACCCATTTCCTCTTTCGAAGTCTGTCCTCTACATATGTCGCTGCTTGTTCACAAATAGAAGTAGCAGCACCAGATTCAGCAGCTGCCTTAAAATGATTTGTCATTGCTTCGTGTTCTTTAAGCAACATCTCTGTCACCTGCCTTCCATCCACTTCTTCCTCTTGTTCGAAAACAGTATGCCGCTTTTCATCCATTGTTGAAATCAACCGATCGAAGGCTTCTGCTTCTTTGCAAGGAAGAAATGCAAGCAATGATGATGACGAGGGCGGTAAGGATGATGAAGCCTCCACCCGCTTCCTCTTTAGAGGCCTTTCTTCTACATGTGTTGCCGCTGATGCTGTTCCTTGTTCTTCTTGTTCAATAATATCCGCAACACCAGAGTTTGCTCCTTCTCTGTCTTGCTTGGTTTTCTTCCTATGAATTCTGCAGATTACCATGCTCTCGAACTTGTTGCTGTTCTCAGCAAGCTTGAGATGAAATTCGTGCATGATCCAGTTAGTATTGCTCCTTTTGCCCCCCTCGGTACTGACAAAAGTCAGCGGCGTCTTATACCCAACGTGTCGAGATCCACAAAAGACATCTTGCTCTTTGCCTTTTCCGTTCCAGAAACCACAACCAGCAGTACGCTTAACATTTTTTGCTGTACCTTTTCTGCTGCTGATTGCGTGCCTCGGAGAGAAGAAATGCATGTCTTTCTTATCGTTTAGGTATCGAAAATCCCCTGCAAACCATGCATCAAGTGTGTCAGAACGAAAACAACAGAAAATTTTGCCGAGACAAACTCAAACTAGCAAGTAACAAGCAAAGTATGCAAGATGATTCTTGAAATAGGAAAACTAAAAGGGAGTTGTGTCAACAAATATTAGAAATATGCAGTTGAGATGAGATACCAATCAGGCTATACTAGCAATGGAAGAAAGAAAACTTCACTGAGACTAAAAAACATCAATTTACTAAAGAAAAACTTTCCAAACACGGTGTCCATTTTAGACCTCGGAGCAGTTCAGAAGACAGAAAAAAAACATCAATTTACCGGTTTGACAAAAGGAATGTGAGGAAACAGGGATGAGTTTTACTCTTCTTATACGACACCAAACAATTAAAATTTACTGAGACTAGATGGCTGTGCTAAAAAAAACTCAAGGTCCTTCTTTTATAGCTAAACACTACGGTGATAATTGCGAGCTTTATGATCAGAGAACTTGGCAAATCTCTATCCTATGTTTCCTAAACCGGAAACACCAATGTGCATGGTTCCATGTATATCAACCAAACAAACTGCAAATCACATTGATTTTTTTTTTTGAATCACATAACTTGAACCAGCATCAGGGCAAATATTACTAGTGACAAGAATCAAATTAAGCATTTCAACGTAAGAGAGCAGAGAAGGATCATCAGAACAAAACACCATGGAACTTGTTGGGTAGTAGAGTAATTGGGAAGGTAATTTGGGGTGTAACTGATATCAAGTAACTAAAAAGCACACAAATTAATTTACAAATGTTGAAGTCCCATTGACGAGTAACTAACAAGCACACCATCACGAAAACAAAAAGAACGGAAATTTGATAGGAGACTCTACTCGAGTTCTTGAACTCTAAAAACTAGAAAGAAATCACAAACAGAGAAATGAAATTACTTACGAGCTGGGAGATTCCAGGGTTCGGTCGAATATACATCGAAATCGCAGATAGCATAACTTGGGATCCCGAGCGCATCTCGTCCTCCGGCGATCTTCTTGGGGAGGAAGAAGGTCAGCAGCAGATCATCGCTAGGGTTAAACTGGAATCCAGGACAAGAAGGCAGCTCCATCATCGATCAATCAATGTTGCAAACCCTTAGCTTTGGAAAGCAAACAAAAAAAGATGGAAGCTTTGAATTTGAAGGAGAAGAGAATTTAGGGCTAGGGCTTCAAATTCGAGCGATCGGCAGCCGGATTGAAAACCCTAGACTTGAGAAATTGGGGATATATAAGGAGAGAGCGGGGAAGGGAGAGTGTTCTAATGGCGGTGATCTGGAGATGCGATGGACGGCTGAGATCATCTGTTCGTTGGAAACTCCCGCCAAAACGAAGCTCAGGCAGCGGAAGATTTACGCGCTAAGTGTTGCCGTTATTGGGTTTAAGTATATATCCGAACTAATGTTTCCTAAAACTCACTAACTTACCAAATATGGCGTCGGAAATATAGAAAAAGAGTTATCAAACTGGTCCCTCACATTGTTGAAATTTCTATTAGATCCCTCAGCTCTTTTTACTTTACTACGATTGGTCTTGGCCGAAGGAATTATTTCGAATTGATTTATAAAATTAAGGGCGACAATATCTATTTCAATTATTTAGGAGACTTATTTCGAGACAATTTTTAGAGAGCTGATAGCAATTTTAATGTATATTTTTTTATTACTCTTTTTAGATAATTGTTTCTTGCGTGAATCATATTCTGATTATGAAATGTGTTCTGAAGGGAATTTAGATTTGTCCAAACTTGTTGTTTGTGTTTTCCTTTGATAGTGGTTTTGTAATTAGGATTATACTTAGCATGAGTTTTTAAGTTGGTAATGATGCCTGATAAAAGGATCCTAACCTAACTCGACTTGTTTTGGTCGGATTTCATATTTGAAAGCTATAAACCTGAATCTTAACAAAATAATTTCAAGGTTTTTTACCCTCATATTAGACAAAACAGTTGAGAGACTAATTTCGAAATATTAAAGACTTAAACTGATTAATATGAAGAGTTCCCATTTTTAAATTATGCCTGCAAAACTTCATATTTGTATTTTGCACCCTTAAGAAATAATTTAACTTTCGAGGGGGTCCACCCGGCTCCGTCGCAGTAACAGGCTAGACGATTTGAATCCGACCCATTAAAATTGTCTACCTGACCCGATAAATAGAACCTTTGCCTTAAACGTTATTGGATCCGGATACCTAATACAATTACCTACCCGAACCAACTCTTAATTTTCAAATCAGCCCCGTGTTTCCTAATGCAGAATTTGAACGTGTTTCCTAAAACAGGGGTTTGTTAATGATACGATAATTACCAAATATGACTTTAGTTATTTCAAGTCCTTGTTGTATTAGGACAGAATCTTATATATTTATTTGCAAATAAATACCCTGTTGATAGAAAGTTAGCCACAAGAAAACTAGAGCAAAGAAAGAAGATGAGAGCAGATGAAGAGGGAGTTTGAGACGATGAAGATAGAAGTTGTAGCGAGAGTTCTTGTGCCATTATTGAGTTTAATTATGTAGCCGAACTAATGTTTCCTAAAACATAATAACTTACCAAATATGGCAGCAATTATTTCCAGTAGTAAGGAAAAAATTATCTCCATCCCCAACATTTTAAAACGTAAGCCTTCACCCAGTCATTATTTCCAACTATAAGGGAAAATTGTCTTCATCCCCAGCATTTTAAATCCTAAGCATTTACCCCTTGAGTCATTAGTCAAAAGCCGATAACCCCTCGAATTTTGATTTCAACTATTCGCTCCATGTACACATATTAATACATCAGAATACTATCAATTTTGCCTTTTGTTTTGTCAAGTTAGGGAAAATGGGAAACAAAGAAGATAGATGATGTGATATTGTTGATGTTAGATATCAAAACAAGGGGGTTTAGTGTGGATTATGTAAGATTTTAGGTCCCTCATTCTTAATCAAACACTAGTTAATCCTTTGACCAAACACAAGTTTGTTATTGACACTTACCAAATACAATTCAAATCATCTAAAATATTATATCAGTGACACACCATGATCCACTTCTGACTTTATAACATGACATATCCACAACATATGTGATATACTATTCTCTGCAAGCTTTTAGCCGTGAAACACTTCTTCCTACTTTTGTATGCTTGATGAGCCTTGAGTTGAATGTTCATAACCTTGAATAGTATTTTAAAAAATTTTACAGGAAAAAAGGGTATTTGAGATGAACTTCTTTATTGAATCAAATTTTACATTGTTTTCATTTGCCTACTGTGCCATGGGACAATTTTGATTATTCATTATCACTGTTAGACCCTAGAGGGGGGGTGATTAGGGTCTTATGCTAATCTAATCCGATTAAATGCCAATTAAAATATATTAACAAGTTATCCTTGCAAGTATGAAATACAACAATGTATATGAGCTAGGATAAGCAATATGAACAACAAGATATATCCTAACAAAGAGATATAGGCAATGTATGTGCAAGGATATATAAACTCAAGGGTAAACAATCTAAACTAGATATTGGGCAATATAATCAACAAGCAATATACAAAGGCGATATAAGATATGAACATAAAAGGAAGTGCGCCAATGCAATCACAAACAAACAATATGATTACGGAGTTCGGTCCCCACGACCTACGTCTCCGCTCCTCACCTCGAGGAGATCTCCACTATCACAACCGGGTTTTCTACGTTCACCCGAACAACGTTTACACCTCACAATACAATCACTATGCAATCACACCTCACGCACTAAGTGTTGGTCCTAGCCCGTGTCCTCCTCCTCAAGTGCTCGATTATAACCTCTCCCTAGGCACGTCAACCGACGCCACTCCTCTTGGATTCGACCTCGTCTCTCACCACACACTTCTCTTGGTGTACAAGTGTATTACAAGTGAATCCTCACAATTAGGCTCAATACAAAGTGTTTGTTCTCTACAAACCCTAAATTATACTATGAATGTAAATACAATAAGCTCAATGGTTGTGTGTGTACAAAGAGATAAATAAAATCAATTAAACTAAACTCAATATAAATCTAGCTTATGGAAATTATAATCAAAATAATAAATTGCTAGATGAGTTTAGAAACACTTCTCTAAAGATGACAAGAGAGTGGGAGAAGAGTGAATGCTCAAACACCAAAGGATGATCTCCACTTGCTCTTGTGAAATTTGCTTCATAAACAAAACTCTTAAACACTCTTTTAAACAAACACAAAACACCCTTAAACTTGTTTAAACAATTCTCTTGGTTGAGTTGAAAGAGAACAACATTAGGGTATTTATACCCACTCAAAAACTCAGCCAAAACCCCTAATAAAAGACAAAAACAGCCCCAGCAAACAACTCAGAAAAATAGCCGTTGGAAGCCAACGGATACATTGGCGGTCGACCGGAAATTCTGTCGGTCGACCGACGGAGAACAAAAACACGAAGAACTGTTCTGGACCATCGTCGATCGACCGGTGCGGTCGACCGATGGAGCTCTCGGTCGACCGGACCGGTCGACCGACCAACTCTCTGCTGCATGGTTACGAAAGAACAAATGATCGGTCGACCGGTGCGGTCGACCGAAAACTGACACAGCAGAAAACTGATATGCTGATTTAAAACACTGTTTAAAAATATTAAATAAATTCCAAAAATATAAAACTTTGAGGAATGGTTGTAGACATGATAATAAACATGCTACAGTGACTGGTTATCAGAAAGGACCTCCCAAATGAAAAATATCATCATTTTACAAAATAGTCCAAAACATGAAAATATGAGATACTTGAATTTTGATGTTTTGACATAAACCAACTTTTGAAATTTTGTGAAATGTTTTTATAGACTTAGTAAAACATGTATAAACTGATATTCAAGTCTACAAACTAAGAATACAATATTTTCACAAAATTGCATATTCTATGCAATGTTTTTAAAAACACAATAGTAAATATGAAATATGTGATTTCATATTATAAACATGAAAACCCAAAACATATGTATGTATATATATAAAACTATATATATGCATAGAAACCAAAACTTATGTATATATATATAACTATATATATATACGAAGAAACCAATAAATGTGTGTGTATAAATAATTGAGCTTAACGTACTTAACACAGATAATATAAATCCTAAACTAAATTACCCAAGCTTGATCTTGATCTTCATTGAGCTCAACTTGGTACACGTTACGGATGAAGCTTGAACTTGATCTTTAATTTGAATTGTACGTTGCTTCACTCCACAATTCCGCCAACCTCCTCTTGATATGAACGTGTAGGCTCAATCCATCTAACCTCCAACTACGTTGTTTGTCTACAATACATAAGAATGTACAAACACTAGACAAACAACATTAGTAGTAAATTGTTTGTTAAACATCATCAAAACAAAGAGGCCAACATTTATGAGAAAGTATAGCACCTTATGTCCAAAGTATAGCACTTTATGAGAAAGTATAGCACTTTATTGGCAAAGTATAGCACCTTATTGGCAAAGTATAGCACATTATGCTCTCTGGAAATTCTGCACCTTAAATTGTCCAAAACCAAATCAGTTTTTTTCACCGCAACGCAAACACTCGATGACCTACGTTACGTGTTTATTGTTCAATCATCCACCGTAACGGGGGGGTCCTCGCGCAATTTTGAAGGTTTTGATAAAGTATAGCACTTTATGGGAAAGTATAGCACCTTATGGCCAACGTATAGCACTATATGGCAAAGTATAGCACTTTATTATAAAGTATAACACCTTATTGGCAAAGCATAGCACCTTATGCTCTCTGAAAATTCTGCACCTTAAGTTGTCCAAAACCAAATCAGTTTTTTTTACCGCAACGCAAACACTCGATGACCTACGTTACATGTTTATTAACCAATCATCCACCGCGACAGGAGGTCCTCGCGTAATTTTGAAGGTTTTTGTAAAGTATAGCACTTTATGGGAAAGTATAGCACCTTATGGGTAAAGTATAACACTTTATGGCAAAGTATAGCACTTTATTGGCAAAGTATAGCACCTTATTGGCAAAGTATAGCAGGTGCTATACTTTGCCAATAAGGTACTATACT